CCCCCCCCCCCCCATCCCGGCCCGTGTGTGACAGAAGGCACAACACAAAAAGCAAATTAGAAGGAAAGCCATCACGCACGTAGCAGCAGAAACACTAGTGCAATGGCAGGACATTACAGAGGCAGGAAAAGGACTGCTCACCATCTCCAAGGATTCACCTGCAGAACCCACTCTGCAGCGGAGAACCTTCCAGAAACAAACCCCTGCCCTGTCGCAGTCCGCCCTGAACTGAGCTCCAGGAGGGGCAGCCAGGCTCCGCCCCTTCCAGCCCCGGAGCTCCATTGCCTTCAGCTGCGCTCCCAGGGCTCACCGGCTCCTTTCCTCAGCTGCTCCGTCAGGGGTTCAGGCTGCCATTCAACACTTCTTAGATAGCAGAGCAAAGGAAAAAACTGCAATCCAAAGGAAGAGATGAAAGGAAAACAACAAAGAAAACTAGCAGGATTCTAGGAAATGACAGAAGACCCTGGAAGCAAGGCAGAAGGCAGGGTTATGTCTGCGTGTCTGTCTGGAGGAAACAGCTGCAGGTGTTCAGTGCTGCTCCATGCACCCGTCGCAGACAGCTGCACAGAATAGGGCTCCAGCAGCACTGACAGCTCCTGTCAGCTTCGCTATTAAAGCCATCTGATCAACTTCCAACTCCATATTTCAAGTGCTTTAAAGAGAGAAGCACTGAAGCTGGCGAACGCATGATGGCTCCAGATAACAAACACCAAGTCAAATGGCACTTCAGGCAATCAGCGTCCTTAAATTACTGCACCTCTTTCAGTTTATCCAGAGAGGCTTCTAGCTCCTTTACAGCTTCTTCTCATTCCCTGAGCTGGAAAAATCAAGGGCAAAATGTTGAAATGGCTCCAGAACTCGTTCAATTTTCACTTAATCCCGATTTTGCCCAGCAGGTGGGGTTTTGTTTTCATTTTTGGTGTTGCACAACAGGTGACTAAAGTGACTGATACAGCTTTGAAGTTGAGTCATTCCATCAAACGTGATGGTTTTCTTGGAAATCTCTCCCTGAAATCAATTAATTCGTACCTACACTGTAGGAGGAATTTTACCAGCCCAAGCCGACTCTAGGTTTGGATTCAGCTGTCACTCCTTTCTCCCCCTGAGAAACACAAGATCTGCGCCTCGCTGCCAGTGTCAGAACAGACCTGGGGCACAGGGAAAGGAGCCAGAGAGTGTTTCCTCTGCTGCACGTTTGATTCCTCGCCAATGAAGACAGTCATGTCTTCGAGGTTTGAGAACAGTTCTCTGAATTCAGTGACACAAACTTCTGTAAAGACTTCATTCTTACTTTCATGGTTTGGATTTTAACTTCTGTCTGAGTGCCTTCTGGACTCTCATCTTCAGCTCTGCTGCCACTGCCCCAGGCGGATGGGGAAGGAACCTGCAGAGGGTGTCCTGTCGTTTTCTCCCCAGCAGTGGGTTGATTTTCCAAGTAGTCACACGTTGACTTTCCAGTTCAGTCTCACCTATGATGCCTACTGCAAAGAACAAAAATTAGTGGGAAACAGATGATGATGTAGCTTAACATGAGACAATTCTCAGCACGTACATTAGAATGTAACCTAATGTATAACCAATGAATACACAGATGTTATAACTGAGAAATATCCAGGAAAGTTAGGCTAAGTCAGATTATTGCAACAAAAGGATAATAAATGGAAAATGTCCTGTCCTCTGGCTGCCGCCTCTTGCCTTCTGCAGGCCTTCTTTGACACCTATGAAGCTTTAGTGAGGCTGCATCAGTGTGAAACACCGGTAACCTGTGGAGCTCTGAAGGGGAGCCGTGGCTCCAGGACCTCAGGAGGGGCTGTGCGTGCTCTTTAATATGCGTGCAGTCTGCTTGTGCTATGGCAGAAGGGCTCTGACAGCTGGGGCCGTGTTTGTGTGGTCAGGAAAAGTGGATATGAACACTTCTCCCTTTGGAAAGATTGAAAGACAGAGCCTCTCGTTGCTGCTTACTGGATGTTTTTCATCTTTAGAAACACAGGTGTTTGAATCATGCTGTTTTTCATGGGAGATGTGCCGGAATGTCTCTGATGGACTATTTGCTGTGCCTTTCTACCACCAGAAATGCTACTGATATAGCAGTTCAGAAAGCCTGTGCTTTTTGTTTTGTTTCCTGGACTTTTGATTTGTTTCCTGGACTCACGTGAGAAGGATGGCTGTGGAGATGTTGGTCTTGGGGCAGGAGTTGTTAGAAGCTTTTGAGAGTGGCCTCCGTGTGTTAGGAGTGATTGTGGTACCACTGCTCGGTCGGTTGGAGTGCGTGAAACAAGTCTGAAGTCTTCTTTTAGTGGAGCAATGGGAAAGGAGTCTATGCATTGGAGAGCTGACTTTCAGTCTGCGGGCATTTTCCAGGAGCTGGGGCGAGGGGTGAGGCAAGGAAAGCTGTGGTAGGAGGATGAGGTGTGGGAATAGGAACGTCTTCCATTGATATCAACTCCTGCTGTTCCCTTTTTGACTTGGAATGCATGCTTTTTTAAATCAAGAACAAACTCCTTGTGCAGCTTGTGAATGAATTCATTCACACCTGTTACTGTTTGGCGTTCTTCTCTACACGGAGCTGCAATTGAAATGGACACTGCTGGTCTGATTGCCAGCCCCCTCCCACATGCTCAGATCAGCCAAGTTTGCAAGGCCTGGCTCTTGGTGAGTTGTGCCCAAGGTCAGACGATTGGCTCTTCTCAGCCTTGAGATGTGTTTTCCAGTTGCATGCTGTGCTACTCCTGTTGTGTTGACCTCTTGAGCTGCAGCCCTAACTGGGGATCCAAGTAGACTGACACAGAAGGAATGGTTGAGATCTATGTGAGCTTGGATTGGAAATGCAGTGCCAAGGGCTGCACAAATGTGAGACAGTTCTGAGTGTAAGGAAAGGCATCTGCTGGGTGCTTTGCTGGGTGAGCGTCACCCTGCTGAAGCAGACAGCCACATCCATGGGGATTGGAAACTTTTTCTGCCTTCTGGCTCTTGGCTGCTACTCTGAGAGTGGAGCTTCTTGCCCTGAGAGAACCAGCAGCAGAAGGGATCCCATGCGTGGCCTCTGAGCCCTTTCAGACCAACCAGCTGGATTAGTGTGGCTGTGACCTTGGTTTGGAGTTCACCCAGCAGGCTTTGCCCAAAGCAAAATGAGCTGTGGGCACAGCGTCCAGCAGTGGAAGTGACCGACAGCTGGAGACAGCAGCAGCCTGAGCGGCGCTCTTGGGGGAAATCCTCACTGAACAAAGGCCCAGAAGAAGAGAGCAGCTTGTCCCTGCGTTCACATCGTCAGGTTTTCCTTTCTGATCTGTTACCCCTCAGCGGTGCCTACAGCTGTGTGATGTGCTCTGCAGGAAGTGCCGATGTTTCGCATTCAACCTTGTCTTTCACCTTGTTTTGAAGCTTAGAGGCACCCTTAATTTCTGCAGCCCTGAGCTTTGTGCCATGAGAGCTCTCCAGCTTCTACCCGTGATGTGAGACTGTAATGTGTCTACTCTGTCAGGCTCTTCTTCTCTCTTCTCTTTTAAGGTACCTCTTTTAAGTACCTCTTTTAAGGTAGGAAAATTCCTTTCTGGGCCAGGAGAAAAAGCAATGCAGCAATCTTCCCTGCACTGCTCAGTTTGCCTGAGTTGCCAAGTGCTCCTATTTTTCTTGTACCCTTCAATTCCAAGTCCATATTTTCCCCAAAGCAAAAGAATTCAGAGGTAACCACCTGCAGTTCAGTAAGCGATTTCAGTATTTATTTCTGACTGTGGCAATTACTTCAGTTCAGAAGTCACACTTAATTTACGGTGCCTGCTTTAATTCTGACCAAGGTTGCAGTGGCAGCTGGCTTCCCAAGGCTGCAGTAGGTGGTGGTGGCACAGCCGTGGGCTTCTGCATTTGTGCTAATCCCACATTTACTTTCTGAGTCTCGCAGGTCAGCTGGCGCTAGAAGTGGACGGCATCCAGTGTGAATGGAGGTCAGTGCAGGAGCAGCTGCTGCTGGGAGGAAGGAAGTGCAGGCTGATGGACGCTGACGCATCGCCTGGCACGGCACCAGAGGAGGCAGCAGTGATGCTGGGGGGCAGTTGCAGAAGAACACAAGGAGCTCCTCAGCAGGAAGCCACAGACCCTGCAAAAAACTGCAGCAGACTCAGAGCACGCATGGATGCCCAGGAGGAAATGCAGGCCCAGCGTTTGAGCAGCGCCTGGCCATGGAGTGCTGCAGCCCAAGAACAGAGCTGTTCTGCCTTTGCCCAGATGGCTTTTCAAGATGGACTTTGTCTGTCCTCACAAAAACCAGAGGGCTGACTCATCCAAATGCTGGCTGATTGCTTGGAAGCCCAAATCCTTCTGGCCTCCAATCTGGAGGCAGCCTGGGGGCAACATCTCCTGGGTCTGATCATGCAGTGCCTGAGCGAGAGGATGACCCAGGCTGGTTACACAAGAGTCATCTTAATTTCTCTGTTTTGCTACTTCAGATAACCCCATTGGGTGGCCGTCGTGTTGTTTTCTTAAAATTTGGTACCAGCCCTGGTGGCTTTGGGCCAGAGCCCCAAAGGCTGCATCCAGCCCAGGGGCTCACAGCCACAGCCCCAACCAGGGAGGCTGGCACCAGCCCAAGGGCCAAAAAGAACAGCCCGAAAGGTGGGATCCAGCCCAGGGGCTTCAAGCCACAGCCCAGCTGGAGAGGCCGGCACCAGCCCAGGGGCCTAAAGCTCCAGACACCGCCGGGGAGGTCAGCACTGCCCTGGGACCGAGATGCTGGCACTGGGTTTTGTTTTCTACTGGTTCCTATGGGACTCCATTGACCACTCTGAGGCCTTCCTGGTTTTTATTGGGCTGCACTAAAGTCATTTGACTTCTCTTAAGTTACTTTACTTAAATTCACCCCATGGGTGACCCTGGTGTTGGTCTCCTACAATTTGGATCTGGGAGGTGACCACTCCTTTGCCTATGATGAAAGCACAGCGGTGATGCAGGCACTTGCTGAGGTCACAGTGGTTGCCGGGCTGGGAGCGTTTGTGCCCCAACTGGGAGCAGAGCTGGTGCTCTAGTGAGCGTGGTGCACACTGAGACTGAGCTCTGTGCTTTTCTGGAGAGAGAGATCATCCTTTAGAGCCCACTGGGAGCAGCGCTGCGGCGTGTGTGTCAGCTGGGCACAGCTCCGGCTGAGCAGGCTGACCAGGTGAGCTGGGTTGGTGCTGGTGGTTGCCAGGGGGTATCTCAGCAGAAAAGCTGGGCTGGGGAGGAGTTCCCAGGTCAAATGGTGCCCTTCTGAATGGCTGTTTCCAGG